ACGCAGACCGACCGCAACGACACTACAGGTATATAGTTTTATTTAATTAGACCCGCAGTGAGGAATTCCATAAAATAGGATTAAAATAATTTTGTAGCTTGATTGCATTCCGTCCCGTCGACCGTCACTATAATATAATAATATATATATATAATATTATCAAATATCAATTATTAGTTATTACAAACATAATAATATCATTGATTATAAATTATAAATAGTTTTTACTATTTGTATTAAAAATTATAATACCAGAACGGTTCCAAGCACGGCATTACCCAACCACGAGTCTACGCGATTAGTTGGACATTGTTTAATTATTCGTCGTTCACGTTAAGTGTTTTATAAATTATACATTCCTTCTTAATATTTACTAAATTAATAACTAACAATTGTATTGTATTAATACATTATATTCTATAGATCCTACAAGCAAGAGCAGTTATCACTTTGTATTCGGTATGTTAAGGACTTGGAAGTAAATGAGCGATTTATTTGTTTTATGGATGTTTCAAGTGGCAGAGGAGCATCACATTTAGCTAGTACAATTTTGACTGCAATTGAAAAGTATAATATTCATAAAATACCATTAGTAGCTCAATCTTATGACGGAGCTAATGTAATGTCAGGGTCAGTATCTGGAGTTCAACAAAAAATTCGAGAACACTATCCAGAGGCAGTATATATTCATTGTTTAGCTCATAAACTAAATTTAGTTGTTTGTAATACTTGCAGTAGTATCAAGGTATTGTGTGATGAACTTTTTTAAAACAATTTAAATATCATTGTATTTGTAATATTATTTCATTTTAAATTTAAATTGAATATAGGAAGTAAGAAATTTCTTTAATACTCTTGAAGCTATATACGTTCACTTTTCTCAACCTGGTATTAATAATGAACTGACTAATTTGTTATCTGAAATGAAAATTAAACCATTATCTATCACGAGATTGTGTGAAACAAGATGGGCCTGTCGCTTCAAAAATTGTGATGCTGTATTAAACAATTTTGGTGCGATAATTAGCATTTTAGTAAGAGAAGTTGACGAAGGTTTAAATAGAGATGTGCCACAAGCAATTGGTAACAATCAATTATACGAACATTTTAATTTATGTCAATGATAAATGTATAATTTTAAAATGTTTCTCATTATTAATACCCATTTGCTAGTTATTATATTTTCTATACTTACTTTATTTTACTTAATTAGTAACTATATATCTTTTCTATTGAAAGGTCTCTTGAACATGATGAAAACCCCAACATTTGTATTTCATCTATTTATATTCCATGAAGTATTGAAAATAATAAATATACTGAGTAAGCAGTTGCAGCAAAAAAATACTAATTTGAGCAATGCTACAAATACCATAAATGGAGTGATAAAAACATTTGAAGAAATGAGAAATATTGATCACTTTTCTGGAATTTGGGATAAAATTTCAAATTTTGCATCTAAAAATGATATTTCACTTGATATTCCAAAAAGTAATTAAATACTAATTATAATAATTGATAAATATTTAGTAGTCAACACTTCAATTTTAGAATCAAAAAGACAGCGTACTGAACCTTATCATTTAAGAGACTTTGATGTTACTGTTGCTACTGGTGCAGAACAACAGCTACCAATTCAATGTACAGAAACCGTAGACAAACAAATTCAAAACTATTGGCGTAATCATTTTTACAACCCTATTGTTGATACCATTTTAAGTCATTTAAAATTAAGATTTTCCGAAGAATCGCAAGAATTAGCCCAAGCAACAGAGAGTTTTATAAGTCTTGACTTTACCAATTCATTATATTTTATTAACCATTACAAGGTTTGAAAAATATTTTTGAGTCCCTTTTAAATATTTTATTAAGTACATTTATATAATAAAATAATTCTATATTTAAGGATTTGTTTTCAATAAACATGGAGTGTTTAAAGTCGGAAATGACAGTTGCTAGAAATTGTGCAATTCAACTTAGTAACAAATTTGGCTTAAAAGAGCTAAAACAGGTAATCAGTAAGACTGTTTATCCAAATCTGTTCAAGCTACTTCAAGTTGCCTTAGTTTTGCCGATATCATCTGCTTCTTGTGAAAGAAGCTTTTCTGCAATGAGAAGAATAAAATCTTGGACACGTACCACGATGGGTCAGGAAAGACTATCTGACTTATCGATAATTCATATTGAGAGCGATCTAGTCATTGATAAAGACATCATTTTAAATAAGTTTGCTGAAAATAAGCGCACGTTGCCTTTACATTTTTAATAAATAAATAATAATAATAAAATGTTTAGTTGTGTTTGTTTGATTTTTATTTTATATTTTTATTTATATAATAATATATGGTATAGTACTATTGGGGTGTGTGAGGGGCGAAGCCCCTCACGAGTTTGGTCTGTTTCCTCAAAAATGTTTGGTGCTTAAGCCCCCCTAATGTTTTTGGGTGATTTGCGCCTATG